CATGCCCAGCAAAAAATAATTGAAAGACACGGTCTGAACAACGAACAGAAGTTTTGTGGTCCAACACAGTATTTATCAAGGATCTGCTCTATGCAAACAATAACTTTTTACAAAGCATTTTCACAGAAAAGGAGACAAGTCCTTCCCCAGGATCATATGTGGGAATTGTTCCTCCCTCACCCTGTTTTGTGGGAATGGGGGGCACCATTCGCTGGTGTGGACAGAAAGGTCACTGGGTCCCCATGGGGTTGGGCAGATCCTCAACCCCCAGCTTCCCCTCACACCTAAACTTGGAACTTCCCTAAGAGCTGACCTCCCCTGACCTCACCTGGGTGGGGAAAGCCGCTCCATCCCTCCCGGCCTGAGGGCGTGGTCCGGGCCTAGCTCTCCCCTCCCCCCAGAAAACAGAACCTCTGACCTCAAAGCTAATCCCCTGGCCCTGCCCCCTTCGGATCCATCAGGTCCCTGACAACTCCCAAAGTGCCTGAAGGAAAGGGGCGAGCTGAAGGCACCGCCGCCCAGCTCCCATCCAAACCCAAGCTTCGCCCCTTCAAACCCCACTGACCCTCGTGTCCAGGCCCAGAGCCCCTCCATTTCCCCCTCCGCCAAAGCCGGCGTCTTGTGTCTCTCTCTCAAGGGGGCTGAGTTTCGTGTCCAAAGCAGGACCCAGGCCTCCCCTCTACCTCCACCCCCTCCCATCCATAAATCGGTGGAGAGGACCTCAAAAGGCAACTTGTTTGGTCTGACTTTATTGATTTCTTCCACCTTCCATTACTTTCCCTGGGAAAACCTCTGGCCCCTTCCCCAGGCGCGGGCGGCACTTTGGAGGGGAGGAGGTCCCGGGCCCTGCCCTCATCTGAGGAGTAAACTGGGGGAGGGGTTTGGTTGACCAAGGGGCATCCTTTTACCCATCAGACCCCTAAACTGCAAGCAAACGGGAAAACTGAAGAAGGAAACGCCAAAACTGAACAAAAGGGGAAAGTTGGTGGCTGAGACTGAGGACCCCCAGCAATCCAGGGTCTCCTGACTTGGGGGCCCCTAGGAAAGGGGGTGGTAGTCCCCTTGCTCAAGCTGTCCCTTCCCCCAAGAAGGCTTCGTGGTGCTCTGAGCGCTGGGGAAGGCCTGAGGGGAGCGAAGGGTTAAAGGCCTAGATGGTGGGGGTGGGGGATGCCCCCAGGGAGCTGCCAATCACCTCCCCACCCCCATCTCAGCCCCCTCATCCCTGAGCTCGCCCACAACCACCAGTGTGTCCATCACCAAGGTCTCTCCATCCTTTTTCTGCCTCATCTCCGAGGTGCAGCCTCCTTGGCTCCCTCTGGGGTGAAGGCACTGCCCCCAGAGATCCGAGATGGAAGAGCGGAAGGAGGCATCCAGGTCATCCAACCTCCCTTTCAGCCTGGGATCACCTCGGATGGAGGGGAGGGGGGTCCCCCCCCCCAGTGAGGCGCTTGAAGATCATTGTCACTTGAGGTCCCTCTGACCACAGCCCATAAAACATCGAGGGGTGAGGCAAGTGTGAGATGCCGGCCCCGCAGTTCGGCTGTGGTCCCAACTTCTCCCCTCTTGGCAGCAGAGGTCTCACGTTCAGGGGTCCTCCAGGTTGATCCCCCAGAATTTGACGCCGGGGGGCTCCGGGACAGCGGGACCCCCCATCTGCCACCTCCACAGCGGGTGGGCAGGCGGGGGCTTGGAGTCCCCCTGCAGGCGGAGCGAGGACGCCGGCCCCAAGTCGTCCTCACCC